GTAAAATAAATGATCAGGAAAAGACTCATTGAGCGAAGAAATATGTTCCTTTCCAATTAGGTCTTCATCTTGGGCTCTACACTGATATAAAGTTTTACAACTAAACCAAAATACCAATCAAGTGGTGAACAATAATCATAGATTTTAAGTAAGTCGTGAAGATGATGTTTTAGAAATAAAGATGTAAGTAATCAATAGGGTTGTTAGAATTGAAATATGAAGCAGATTATTCTTAGACAAATGGAGTGATTTTTGATGAGTGTTCAGTCATAAACAATAAGCGATTACGTAATGATGAGAAAACAAATGAATATTGATAGGAGCAAGAGGGGGAAGAGGTGTACAAAGTAAAATTAGAAGTTACATCATGTTGATGGCCACGGTAACGAAAGTGGTCGAACAAACTTCTTTGAATACAAAGGTTAGATTTGTAAGGGTGGATTGCAATCGCCTCTGCTGTGTGAAGTAAGCGAGTGCGTAATCCGTGTGGTAAATTAACTGGAATATGATGAATAATTTTGAAAGCTTTTCTAGTATCCATTTGATATCCCGTGTCTGCCGCTTCCATGTGCATTTATCAATTCAGCTGCTCCTGTTGAGCAAGTTACTTTGGGCGTACAATGAAGCAGTTGCATCGTCGAATCTCTGAGCACTACCCATCATGGTTGAGCAAGGGACAAATCAGAACAATAAACAGCTTCATACTTGCGCACCTAGTTGACATGGGACATCAAGTGGATACTAGATTATTTATTTCTAAAACATCATCTTCACGACTTACTTACAATCTATGATTATTGTTCACCACTTGATTGGTATTTTGGTTAAATTGTAAAACTTCTTATCAGTGTAGAGCCCAAGATGAAGACCTAATTGAAAAGGGACATATTCCTTCGCTGAATGAGTCCTTTTCTAAATGTCTAAATGGGAATATTCTATGTACTGAAATGATTAGAAATCGATTCCGCTACTGTCACATAAATTCGCTAACAAAATATGTTCGTTACGTTGTTGGCTAAGAAGGTTTAAAGTTTTTTGTAAGTTATGCTTCAAAGCTGGGACTATCCGGTTTAGATATTCATCTTTCAAGTGAATGAGTCACACTTTCGAACTCCACTTTTGTTTGCATTGATGATTAGTATACACACAATAGTTTAGCACACAATCATTGGGTATTCTATTGTTTTACCGTGCGGATTTAAACAATATTTTTTGCCGTTATTAACATGGTTTGATATTCATCAGCAAATATAATTTATTATTTGTCCCTTGGGTTCCTAGTGGAACGTAGGGCCTCAGTTTCACGTTTTATTTCACTCTGTTCTCTGCAGTCTTTTCAACTGTGCTCCATGACTGCCCAGCTTTCATTTCTTCCTCACACAATCTCCCCCATATCACCCTCGGACGCCAAGAGTTCCTTGTTGCTTTTTCTTATTATTCTGGCCATCTGATCGAGAGTAGGTGGCAGGTGTTGATGAATGTCTGTGGTTTGTTGGAAATGCTTTTCGTAACGCGCCGCCAAGTCTCTCAACCATCACATGGAAGCACTGACTTGACTGAATTATTGTTGAAATCCGGATCTTGTTCACGCTCTATGCTGAGTGCAGTGCAGTGCAGTAGATTTCCCCACTGATTTCAGATTAATGAAAGCCTGTCTTGCTGTCCTTCCGATGCTGGTTTTGACATCCTCGTCTGTGCCACCTCCTGTAGTTGAGACGATGCTGCATAAGTAGGTGAAAAAGAATACTTTCTTTAGATTTCTCCCGTTGATGGTGGTTGGTGCTTGTTGTTGTTGGTTGGGTGTCTTCATCACCTCTGTCTTCTGTACATCCACTTGAAGTCCCGTCTTCGCTGCCCTATGTCTTCTGTAAACTTGTTGGTTTTCACCTGTTGATCTTCGAGTTTGTGCGACAAGACATTAGACATGAATCATCATTGGCGGCGAAATCCAAGTCTTCTAGGGTCTTTTCACCGGTGCATCCAGCGTATGGCCATCTTCTCTCTCCTCATAGTTTCTTGCATGATTCAGTCCAGTCGAGTCGACCATAATCAGGAAGATGATCAGTGATAGTAGGTGGCAGTCTTGTCTTAATCCTGTCTTCACTTGAATCACTTGGTACTTAGCTTCATCACATGGCATATAGCTGTTGAATGAGGTTGACAAACGTTTGTGGGACTAAAACCGTAGTGTTGAAGCAGCTGCCTGACAAATTACTTCTTGGTCGACGCTGTCGTAGTCCTTTTCAAAGTGGATGAAGTTGAGGTTGAGTTGAGTTGACTGCCATTCTATGCTCTTATCTATGATGATGCGTAACGTGGTGTTGCAATTAGATCCGCACATGATTTGTTCTTCCTGAAACCAGCCAACCTGTTCCGATGGTAATTTTGAACGCAGAGCATTATTTAGTCTCTCGAAGATGATGTGGCTTAATATTTTGCCTGGGATGGACAGGGACAGGAGGTTGATTCCGTGTTACTTCTTATAAAGACTTCAGTCTCCCTTCTTTTGGAGTTTGACAAGGTAGCCCTTCTTATCGACGGACAGGTACATTCCCTTCCTTCCAAACCTTCTGTAATAGTGCTGTGAGCGTGTCCACTGGTGTCTCTGCGTCTGTTTTCATTGCTTGTAGAGGAATTCCATGTAGTCCTGTAGTCCTGCTGGTTTCACGGCTTTCACTGACTTTGTGGCTTTGAGGATTTCACTTCTGCTTTTGTCGGAGGGCTTGTGTTGACTGATAGTTCTGTGGCTGGGCTGGTGGTGGTATTTTTGAAGAGTTCTATGTGGTGGTGGTGGTTGTCGATTCAAGAGTTTTATTGAAGTGGTCAGCCCATCGCTTTCTTTGTTTCTCCTCTTTGGTAACTAAGTTTCCTTCCTTCACTATCTTTCTTTGGTTTCGTGTGTGTTGATCTCTTCCCAGATAGATATTACCCTGGTTATTTGATATAAAGTTCTCAGGTTTCTGTCTCTCCTGCAGCTTGTTATGCTTCACTTGCCAATGTGTCGTGGAAGTATCTTTTGTCTATCTGCGCGTTCTTCTTCACTTCTTTGTCTAGTGTAGTGTTTTATAGGTTGTGTTCAGTGCCTCTTTTTGTTGTTCACCCGTGCACTGCACTGGTTCATCTTCTACTTTACCACCACCATATTTCTCTCCCTACTCTTTCAGCTTCCATGTGTCTGTGGAGATCCATTCCTTTTTCGTTCCTAATACGGTTATGCGGGTTTCCTTCCACCCCTCTTTGAAAACGTTCCAGTGTTGTTCCACACAGGTTTCCTCAGGAATGTTGCCTTATTTCCACCATTTTTTGTTGATAGCTGACGTGAATAGGTTTTTTGTAGTTTCATTTCTCAGTTGAGTTTTTGGGTGTTGAACTTGAACTGTGGTCTTTCACCAACTTCCTCGAAGACTTTCAACTTGGTTTTGAAGGTTCCTTGCACTAGACAGTGAGTGATGTGGACCTACATCTACTCCTCTTGTTGATCTGATCTTGTGTGCAGTGGGCTACGTCTCCACTTTCTTCAGATTGAGATTGAGTCGATCCGGTATTTCGTGTGTCCTGGTGTCTGGTGAAATCCGTGTCGCTTTGTGAATATGCTTGTGTTTGTACACACTGCCTCGCCTCCAATCACCAAATCATTAAAGGTGTAAAAGTCTGTATATAGTTCTTGATTGTCGTTCATCATTTCACCGAGTGGCTGTAGACGCATGATGAGTTCTCTTCCTGTGTTGTCTGCTCCCATTTTGACATTTATGTCAGCCATTAGAATGAATTTAGATGTCGGCATCTGAGATGGGGTCTTGTCTATATATTACTGATTGCAGTTGTCTGGAGAATTCCTCTTTCTTCTCTTGGTCTACATTATTTGTTGTTGCGTAGGGTTGCATTGTATGATTGTGACTTTCCTTCCTTTTGATTTGAATCTTGCTGTCATGATCCTGATACTGGAGGAGATTGTTTCTCACTGAATGAGATAGAGCCTCGGTGTTGTTGAGGACATCATGATAGCCACTCGAAAAGTGTGCTGGTGGTTGTCATCTGGGTGACAATATCGGAGTGGATTAGATTATTGATTCCTCTTGAGTTGACAGTTTGGAGAGTCCACTTGCATTCCATCTGCTCTCGTAGATTCCTAGCCTAGCACTTCTATGCGATATCTTCTCATCTCTTTTGTGATCTATGCAGCCTTGCCAGCCAGCTTGAAACATTTTGCTTATAACCAAACCGTATGTGTTTACTGTCTCTATATTGGCCCTTTAGATGATTATACTGTTCATGAAACATTATACTTTGTTCGTTAGTGTTATTTGGAAAAGTTGGAATTCTGTTTCTTTTTTAGTTGCCTTATTGTGTAGCTTTGTTGAAGATGACCAATAAATTGCTTCAGTTAGGTATTAAACTTGAAATCCTAGCTTAATACGGATTACTAGGCAATACCTGTAGTAAACCCCACTTCATTTCGATTTTATAAATCCCCAGAAATTTTTATAAATCAATGCGAGTGGATGTTTGGTAACTGCAGATGGTGATATTGCGAACCCATACTGATTATAGAGCGTGTAAATGTTGAATTCGGTCAGGATTACTTCAAGTTGAACATACGTCTCCTACATTGCGGAACTAACAATTATACATGTCAGTTCACCGCTAAATCATGTTAACGTGGTGTCTGTTGTTCATTAAAATGAATATCACATGTTGTGTAGATGACGCAATTTTGCATCGGTAAAAAAAATGTGATAAGGTAAACGAAATCATACATGTGCATAGTGAGGGAAATTCAGAAGGAAATGTTACATGATATAGATAAATAAACAGGATCTTCTGTTGTCGCAGTTGATGTTCCGTTGGTTTGCTAAATTAAATATTTTTAAATGCATGTTGTACAGTACCTTTAGTACAGTTCACGAAATACCATGGTTATATATATTCGAGAAATAAAGCACTTCTTAGATCATTGAAATTTATTGTTTTATTTCTCAAATAATTTAATTTTTTTCCAGTACATTGTACATGAAACAAGACTCTCTTCAACACAATCAAGTACGAATGACATCGATGGAGCATCACATTACAGTAATCGGTCCGCTATCATAAATGTTCAGTCACAGATTCCACATCGTCAATTTCGGTAAGTACATAAATAACAACAAACAATGGTATATAATTTATTCACGTTAAGCATTTTATCGTCTTTGAATTCATTCTCTTATTTGTATTTTCATCATCAAATGCATCAATATGTATTCAGTCATAAAATTTTCACTCTTAATACGTATCACTTTCTCTTTCATCAATCTCAGTGGGGATCTCTTTTAGTATTTGGTAAGACGAAAGACATGGGGCATCCGACGTACCTCATACTAAGTTGATTTGCAAGTGTGATTAGTCTTATCTTTTAGTCATTCAGGAGGCTTTTATTATATTCATCAACTTGTCATCTTATTTGTCACAAAGTACAAATGGTGAACACAGAGAGCTGAGATGGCACCTACGGTTTAAAAATAACTGAGTAATATATTAAATAGGAAGATAGCTTTGTGAAAACAGTTTTGCTATGACTGAAAACGATGTAGACTGAAGAGAACTTGTAGGCAGACAGATAGGCAGATGAAATCATTTTAGAATGTCACGTAAAAGTGCGTCCGTTCAAGTATATACCCCTTCCCGTACGGCTTGGATCAGCAGTTAGAGAATTCATGAACTGGTTTCACATCTTGTTCTGATCACCCTTACCTTCTTTCAATTCAGTCCTATGTGAGCTGACATTGAGCATTGAGTTAGGCGATGCCTAGGGATGTGCAGCATTTGTCTGACCCGCCACAAATGGTGAAGGTTCATAATCTCATGGACTGATTTGTTCGCTTTATCTAGTACCCTTTGCCTAACCTCAACACTGCTCACACGGTTATTCCAATAAACGCAAGATTGTGTGTGACACCTGTGGTCAGAAACCTGCAATCTCTTCACTTTTTATCAGCTGTTTTTACACCTGTGTAGTGGGATAGAGTGAACTACAGCGTGGTATACTCGTTAATAATAAGTAGTCAGATATCTGGCCGGTGCCAAATATGGTGTGGATGGACAAATACGCACCGATATTTGTGCATCCTAGCTGAGATTTTGTCACTAAGCAACTCATCGGAGCTGACGAATCCCTAAGCAGTTGAAGTGGCCAACACATCTTACCACTCCCCTTCCTATTTTTAAACAGGGGGCAGCTGCAGACCATTCGTTAAGCGTCATCTTGCATTTGGTGAGTGCAGAACGTATGCAGAAAGTACTCAGATTTTTTCACAAGGCATTTAGAAGACTCGATTTTGTCAGCGTCCCCAACTGGTGGGATAGTGTCTTCCGTTTACTCTTAGTCAATCAGGCGTCCTCCAAAGAGTAAGTCCTTGCTATAAAATATTATAACCTGTGTGATAGTAGCTAAATCATAGCAGAAGCTGCTGCCTAAACCTGATTCACATATCCGTAGGTTGATATTATGAGCTGCATCCCTATTAGTTTTAGTGATTAAATTTTTTCATACTGTAATACTTCCTTTGAGATAAACTCATTGTTTGAGGTCAAAGCTTTCTAACTCCTTTAGATAAACCCTTGATTGCAACCACTTTTATAGCCGTACACATCGTCATCATTGAGCAAAATTGGCACGTAGTCAGTTCTCTTTTCTCTTGAAATAAGATATCGCTAATGAAAGAACTGTGAGTTCACTGTTTTCTGTAAGATACTGGTTTCCGATATATATCTTCAGTGATATCTTTTTCATTCGGTATGGTTAAAAGATCTAAAACAGAATTTTGTTTGGGTTTTTTGAGTTCGATTTTTGAACACACTGTCGAATTTCATCACTAAAACGCCTACTTGGATGTTCTTTTCAAACAAAAAAAGTTGCCGTTCATATGCTACTTCAAGAAATATCAAGTAAGTGTTTTTTGTTTAAAACTATGCTTCAAGAACCGTAGCATAGATAGTTAAGGAGTTGTAAGTTTAAGGGAAGAGTACAATAGAAATGTACTACGACTAGGATATTGACCGTGTACTGTAATGCTGTAGTCTAGTTTCATGCACATCATGGTACTCTAATATGTTGTGTAAACTGCTCTAAACAGTTTGTACGAAATATCTCTTTCACTGGCTGTAAAGAATATATAGACTGCTCTAACGCAGCGTGTTATGCGGTAACACGCATTTTGGAAGATAGTTTTAGTGCTTGCTACACTGTTTTTCTGAATTTCAAAAAAAGTTTTCTGACATTTCTGTTTCTTCTTTGTTTCGATTTCTTTCTTCAACTATGCTCTGTTATACTTTTATATGTACGTTTCAGCATATAGTTTTTTGTGTCTGTCTGTTTCAAGAGTTTTTCTATGTTTTGTTTGTTTGGGATTATTGAGAAAAAATCTTCACCTGTTCAATCAATTCAAATAAAAGGATAGCACAAGAATGTAGGTATACTTAGCTTCAGTTCGAAGTTCTGAATTGGCTGTTAACTGTTATATAATCTACTGAGATGTTACAATGATGTTTCGGGCTTTTGTACGTATCCACAGTCTTCATTTGCTTTGTTTTCATAACAGGATAGCTGAGAACAACTGTGAAGCATTAATGTTATTTTTCTTTAGTTAATTGATGAATAATTAACAAACTTTGTCGCCTTACTTCATTCGTTTAGTCAGTACGTAGTAGCTTGAACGATCAGTCATAAAATATCAGCTTCCTGAGATGGTCTTGTGACTGGATAAGTGGAAAGCTTTGTATGTCTACATGTGTATTTTAGTGTGTGTGCATGGAAGAGAGGGTAAGTGAGTGGTCCACTCGTGTTGTTCTGTTTTGCGTTTACCTCTTCTGTAACCTCTAACCGAAAAAACTCCAGATATTTTTGTAGATTTGTGGCATTCTTTCGATCCTGCTTTTAATGTGTTTTATATGTTATGATGTAATTTTTTTTATCTAAGTTACTAAATACTTCTACCATGTATAAACCATATAAACCTTGGTTGACTGGTAAATCCACAGCAATAATAAGTTTTCTACCAGAAATTTGTCTCATCTACTTATTTTTGCCAATACAGCAATCTAGGTAATACCTAGTTTTATTTAGCGAAATGATATTTAACGCAGTGCTCATTTATTAGAGTAATGAAATGAAATCTAATTTGTATTCCAATCTCACAGTAAGAACACTCAACCTGTAACAACTGAAGCCATAGGTTACATTGATCTTTGCACGAGTACAAAAGACTCGGCTGGCTGTCATCAAGATACCACTGTAATATCCGATTGCCTATTAAAGGCCGAGTGTACTGCGCTATAGTTTGCCCCTGTTCTACTATATGAATGCGAAAGGTGGAGGACATGGTGAGGAGGCTTCAGGTGTTTGACCAGTATCGTCTTCAGAACATAAACCGTGTGTTGTGATGTCACTACTTCAGTAATGTAGAGGTGAGTTGTAGACTTTTAGGGAGAAGAGTTAAGTCACTCGATGAGGCTGCGAGCCTACATTTACCGAAGTGACTAGAACATGTATTGTGCATGCGTAGTCACAGTCTACCTCATCACACAAGGTTAGCTTAAGTAGCTGGAGACCGGAAGAAGGTTAGATATCACTAGACTAAAACATGGCATCCGTCTACATGGTCTCTGACTTTGTGTGAGCTGTGTGGGGGAATGTAGTTTTTGGGTTGTAGTTAGAGTGACAACGGAAGTTGGCGGTTAGAGATTCTTTGTGATAGTACTTAAGATCGATGTCATGGGTGCAACTTTGTCCGTATATTATTGTCTTCGTACTCGTCACACCGAATTTTATTTTAGTTCGTAAGATTCATCTCGCAGTGAAAAAATATTGTTTATGAGATAACGTTTGGCACACAATCTATTGTCAATAATCAGATCAAGATAATCAGTTTGGTTATCTGAGATAGACATGGGTTGGCAGACCTGTATTGATACTAAGTGATGGTTGAAGGTAAAGTGAGGTCACTGGTCTGAATCCTGCCGCAATCCAGATTTTCGTTTCACCTCCAATCATCACTCAGTATATCAGGGTAACTCCACAACTTTTAGACATGGTTTATGTATTTCTAATTTTCCGACCTTTGTTTCATAGGTGGCAGGATTATCCATAGATTCTGGAACAGACGCCGAGTCATTGTTTTTGCACGTATTTGGTGTCGATTCGGTTGTCAATTTCTACCTTTATTCTGCCTAATACATTTTCAGGACTCTTACTTTGTCTCATCCTGTTGTGCAGTTTTGTTTAAGTGTACTCATAGCTATAGCCGGGCTATTATCTAAATTCTTTATCTTACTAGGATCTACCAGTTTTACTTGGGCTAGCTTCTTGTCCTAAGATTGCCTAAGTAATCCCGTTTGACATCGCAATCATTACAGGGAATTTGGTAAACGGAATTACTCCGCTTAATTGGATCAATAAGATCGTTTAACCTACAAAGCTTATTTCTAAGTGAGTTTGTAGGTTGGTACCAAATTTTATTGTTATCTTATTCCTTCTTGTCTTCTCGTCACCGCTTTTCACCAGTTTTTGAATATTTGCATTGTTAATTCTCCATCTTTTAATGTTATTGCCGGCTTTCTTAATGTTCTGGTGTGAGTTTTGACAACTTGTGCTGTTACGTAGTATTATCAGGTCACACATCGATGCTGAATGACTGGTGTTGTTGTCCGTTGACCTGGTCACTCACATCTTCGAATCCTGCTCCACCTACTAAGGCCATGACAACCAGATAGTACGATTATCATATAAGCAAAGTGTTTACATGGATCTACATGTCGTTAGTGAGTCATATTGATTGTCTAGACACTCAGTATGAAACCCTTGTTTTTGTATTTAATACATCAATGTCAATCTGTCATGTGTTAGCAGAGCATGCTTGCTTCTTCCTACTTGCACACACTACAAAGATGAATGAAAAATAAAATACTCCTTTGTATTGTCTAAAAATATTTTGACCCATTCCTGGTGCAAATGCAAGCCATAGATTGCGCTTTAGGCTTTTCAGAATGTATGTCCAAAACTTAGGAAAATGAATCTTGAGTCTAGAAGTTGTTCAGAGTGACTATATCGTGTGAATCGATGAAATTCGCTTCATTGGCTGGCATTTCTGA